TCCAACTTTTTTCTTCTGTGAGATTTCTCAGTTGGGTGGGCCATAAACTTTAAACATGGCAGAGGGGAGACCGACCGTGACTGGTATTTTTTTAAATAGTTTTTTCACAACAGTTACATTGCTTTGTCTTGTCATTAAAGTCTTTCATATTAATGTAGACTATATAAATAACAATAATGCATACTGTATGTCTTATACACAAAAAGTATTTGACTGAAATTCCAGAATATACAACATGCTGCACATCCAGATAGCGCTTTGAAAGTATACAGTAGAGCAGGTGATGTATGACTGACAACATGATTCACTAGCTGCGTCCCAATTTAGAGGCTGCATCCTTTGAAGGCTGCATTCGAAGACCAACTGTGTCACCATCCCATTTCACAACGCTCCGTCCAAACTTCACGGCCTTCAAAGGATCCAAGCTGGGTCCCAATTCGAACCCAATTCGAACCTTTGCAATTGGTATTCAAATGCAACCTTCGAAAGATGCCGCCTCTGAATTGGAACGCAGCGCCAGTCCTCAAATTCACCCTTCACCAGGAGTTTGACTGACAGGTGATCTGACCAATCATAACGCAGAATTTGCCATTTTGTCCAACAAACAAACCAGACAGGAGAGTAGATTAACGTTGGTGGACTTGAACTTGAAAATGGTGTGTATTGACATCTTTCCGCGGTTGAAATAAAATACCTTCTGATGTTCATTCATGTTTATTTGCTATAACTAATACATTTAAGAGGAAGAGATGATCGGTTGAACTGAGGCGCAACAGCGATCTGTCACGACACATTAAGAGCCACAAAACTGTATTTATTGTTTGAATTTCTTAAAAAATGACAAAAATCGAAAGCTGAGACTTTGTTTCTTGCCAAAAGTAACCTGCTCTGTCATGTCTGTCGGCATGTTGTCAGTTTCCTCTTTGCTCTGCTATGTATTTTCACAGCGTGAGAACATGATGTGTGGTGTGAGAGAGCCATGACTTGTTGGACATAGAAACAGTAACTAAGGGGGGACAGTGCGTTCACGCCATATCGTAATTACCGTGATTACGAGATACCAACTCATAAAAAGCGTTCACGTCCTCATAGAACTCGTAATTACAACTTGTGAACTGGGAATTTTCTGAGAGCTACCACCTGACCAGCTCAGATTCATTAGGCGCTATGTTTAGGCATTGATTGTGTGATAGTTCCGAGTCCAAGGGTGTGAACAGCTCCAAGTAGAACGTCAGGTGTTGTCATCTCAAAATTACAGTAATTACGACATGGCGTGAATGCAGCAACAGCTACTACCTCTGACAAACGATAGACCGGAAGACATTCGTTTCCAATGTGAGCACCCATATGCGTATGCAGAATTTACAGGTCTGATTTGTGCTTCAGTTACATTGAAATATTTGGGTTTATGCAGCTAGACCACCTGACAGTATGTTCTATAAACTTGAGGTCACAATACCAATACATTTCCATCAAACATTCAAACACTATTTCTGTAAAATGGGTGGTTATGAATAATTTTATCCAAAATAATTGTTTCTAATTATTAAATGGGCTGATTACACCTGTTTTTTTTCCTCACATCTTTTGATTTGTGTGTATATTTTATTAAAGCAATAAGCCCTAAGAAGCCGTGGTTTACAGTGAATTTATAACAGCTAAGGGGCGTTGTTGTTGCCTAAAACCCCCTTAGCTGTTATAAATTCACTGTAAACCACGGCTTCACGGGGCTTATTGCTTTTATAAAACGGCTATTCCATATACGTAGT